CTGTGAGCCCAGCCTGCTCTCCTGGGTCAGGGAGGTCCAGGACCCAGCAGCACTGGCCGAGCCTTCCCCCTGGGGTCAGGACTGAGAGACGCTCTTGGCATAGGCAGCTCTGGGTCCTCTGTGGGGCTTCACTGGTGGTTGCCCAGCTTGTTGGGTGTTACTGTGATGAGGCCAGAGGGAAGAAGGGGTGCCAGGGCAAAGGCAGAGCCTGGGGTCCCTGGTGGGGAAGGGGCTAAAGGTGAGCAGCATGATCTGTTTAATCTCCGCATGGAGACAGGTGTGAGGCAGTTTTTTTCACCGTCCAAATGTAATAGGAACTGCTCGTGTGTTTGCCTCTCTTGGCCCTTTCCTGCCCTCCTGATTCCTCACATGGGCCGGGCACACCCCAGCGGCTCTGTTTTGGGAAACAATCTGTAACAATGGCTTATCTATAAAGAAACTGGAAACACCCATTCCTTTGACTGGTCATCCCACTTCTGTGATGCCATCCCCAGAAATGTTAAATACAGCATCATCCCTAATCTTGAAAAATGAGTCACAAATTGAACGTCCAGCCTCAGTGGGCTAAATTCTTTTTTTTCTTTTTTAAAGATTTTATTTATTTATTTATTTGACAGAGAGAGAGGGAAAGAGAGCACGCGCGCACAAGCAGGGTGAGAGGCAGAGGGAGAGGGAGAAGCAGGCCCCCTGCTCAGCAGGGAGCCCAATGTGGGACCCGATCCCAGGACTCTGGGATCATGACCCGAGCCAAAGGCAGACGCTTAACGACGGAGCCACCCAGGCGTCCCTCAGTGGGCTAAATTCTTAATAACTGCATCTCCTCAGTGGGATTGCGGCCATCAGATCAGTTAGGTGAAGGTGTAGCACAAGCTCAGCATCCACCATGAGCCACGTAGCACTTGAACCTGTCACCCGGGCGAGCCACGTTGTTCTTTTCTAGCCCTGTTGCTGGCCTCTTTCTTACAGGGGACGAAACTGAGGCAGAGATCAGCGGGAGGAGGTGCCTTCACCACCATACTCCATGCCATTTTAACAGGAAAGTCTTATGTTGTCAAGTTAAAAAATCTTTTAAATCAGAATATAGAAACCAGATAGCCTTAAATTCGTATTCGACCCTTCCTGGTTGCCAAGCGTCTTTTTTCACATCCAGCCAACTTTTCCCTTCCCTCTTAGAAAATTTTTTTGCTTTTGTCTCTTAACTTTTTTTTTTTAAGATTTTATTTATTTATTTGAGAGAGAGAGAGAGAGAGCAAGAGCCGGTGGAGAGGCAGAGGGAGAGGCAGACTTCCCCGCGGAGCAGGGAGCCCGATGTGGGGCTCGATCCCAGGACCCTGGGATCATGACCTGAGCCGAAGGCAGACCCTTAACCGACTGAGCCACCCCGGCTCCCCTCTCTCAACTTTTTCTTTTCTTTTTTTTTTTAATAATATTTATTTATTTGACAGAGAGAGAGCACAGGCCGGCGGAGTAGCAGGAAGAGGGAGAAGCAGACTCCCTGCTGAACAGGGAGCCTGATGTGGGGCTCGATCCCAGGACCTGAAGATCATGACCTGAGCCGAAGGCAGTCGCTTAACCAACTGAGCTACCCAGGCACCCCTCTCTTAACTTTTTTTAAGATGTCATTTTTGTTTAGGGCAGTTTTAGGTTCACACAAAATTGAAGGGAAGGTACAGAGATTTCTCACATGCCCCTGCCTCTACACATGCACAGCCTCCCCTATTATCAACATTCCCCACTAGAGTAGTACAGTTGATGAAGCTACTTTGATATTTCATAATCCCCCAGACTCCACAGTTAACTTTAGGGTTCACTCTTGGCGTTGTACCTTCTGTGAGTTTGGACAAATATACAATGACATGTATCCATCATTATGGCGTCATATAAAGTATTCTTGTTGCCCTAAAATCACCCATATTCCACATATTCATCCCTTCTTCCTCCCCAACTCCTGGCAACCACTGATCTTTTTACCGATTCCATAGTTTGCCTTTTCCAAAGTGTTATATAATTGGAGTCATATAGTATGTAGTCTTTTCAGATTGGCTTCTTTGGCTTGGGTTTAAGACTGATTCTTCCATGTCTTTATATGGCTTGACAGTTCATTTCTTTTTAGCACTGAATAATATTCCATTGTCTGGATGTCCCACAGTTTATTCATTTAGCTACAGCAGAACATCTTGGTTGCTTCCAAATTTTGGCGATTGTGAAGGAAACTGCTATAAACATCTGTGTGCAGGGTTTTGTAGGGACATAAGTTTTCAACTCTTGAGTAAATACCAAGAAACGTGATTGTTGGATCACATGGTACGTTTAGTTTTGTGAGAAACTGCCAAACTGTCTTCCAAAGTGGCTGTATCATTTGCATTTCCCTCTGCAGTGAGTGAGAGTTCCTATTGCTCCACCTGCTCGCCAACATTTGATGTTCTCAGTGTTCTGGATTTTGGCCATTCTAATACATGTGTAGTGGTATCTCAGTGTTGTTTTAATTTCCATTTTCTTGATGACATATGTTGTGGAACATCTTTCTATATGCTTATTTGCCATCTGTGTATCATCGGCTCATTTTTTAATTGGGTTATTTGTTTTCTTATTGTTGAGTTTTAAGAGTTCTTTGTATATTTTGGATCATAGTCCTTTTATCAAATGTGTCTTTTGCAAATATTATCTCCCAGTTAGTGGTGTATCTTCTCTTGATAGTGTGGCTTTTGCACAGCAGAAGTTTTCAATTTTAGGGGTACCTAGGTGGTTCAGTCGGTTGAGCATCTGCCTTCAGCTCAGATCATGATCCTGGAGTCCTCCAAATCGGGCTCTTTGCTTAGCGGGGAGCCTGCTTCTCCCTGTCCCTCTGCCTGTCACACCACCTGTTTGTGCTCTCTCTCTCAAATAAATAAATCTTTAAAAGAAATAAATTTTAATGAAGTCCAGCTTATCAGTGGCTTTCATGATTGTGCCTTGAGTCTCTCTAAAAAGTCATCACCATCCATGAAGTCATCTAGATTTTCTCCTGTGTTATCTTCTAGGAGCCTTATAGCCTTGCATTTTACATTTAAATCTATGATCCATTTTTAGTTAATTTTTGTGAAGGGTGTGAGATTCTGTGTCTAGATTCTTTTTTTTTTTGCATGTGGATGTCCAGTCCCCCAGTACCATTTGTTGAAAAGAATGTCTTTGCTCCTTTGTCAATGATCAGTTGACCATGTTTATATGGGTTTATTTCTGGGCCCTTTGTTCTATTGATCCGTTTGTCTATTCTTTCACTAATACCGCACTGCCTTGATACTGTAGCTTACAGTAAGCCTTGAAATCTGGTCATGTCAGTCTTCCAACTTTGTTCTTGTTCAATATTGTGTTGGCTATTAATGGGTCTTTTGTGCCTGTATAAGCTTTAGAATCAGTCAATATCCACAAAATAACTTGGGATTTTGACTCAGATGGCACTGAATCTGTAAATCAAGTTAGAAAGAAGCAACATCTTGACAATATTGAGTTTTCCTATCTATAATCAAGGAATATCTCTCCAGTTATTTAGTTCTTTGAATGCATTCATCAGAGTTGTGTAGTTTTCCTTATATAGAATCTGTTCATATTTTGTAGACTTATACCTAAATACTACATTTTTTTGTGTACTAATGTAAATGGTATTGTGTTTTTAATTTCAAATCCACTTGTTCATTCCTGGAATATAGGAAACCAGGTGACTTTTGTATATTAACCTTGTATCTTGTAGCCTTGTTACAATCACGTATTAGTTCCAGGAGTTTTTTAATCAGTTTTTTCCTGTATAGATGATCATGTTATTTGTGAGCAGAGACAGTTTTATTTCTTCTTTCTGAGTATACTTGCTCTTACCTTTTCTTATTGCATTAGCTAAGACTTCTAGTACAGTGTTGAAACTCACTGGTGAGGTGGGATATTCTGGCCTTGTTTCCATTCTTAGTGGGAAAACTTCTGGTTTTCTCACTATTAAGTATGATGTAAGCTGTAGGGTTTTTTTGTAGATACTGTTTTTATCAGTTAAAGTTCTCTTATGTTCCTAGTTTACTGAGTATTTTTATCATGAATGGGTGTTGGGTTTTGTCAAAGGCTTTTTCTGCAGCCATTGATATAATTATGTGATTTTTCTTTTTTAACTTATTGTTGTGATGGAGTGCCCTTTTTTTTTATAATGAAAGATCACAGTGTTTATTCACTTTCATTCCTTCTACTGAGATCAACAACAGGTTCAAACTAGAGGCTCAGAAAAAGTTTGAGAAAAAAAATGCCTTATTCCCTTGTTTCTCGCAGATGTGATATATCCTCACCTCATCCACTTTCCTTAGGCACTACCTCTTAAGGCTTGCTGATCTTCTTTCTTTCTTTCTTTTTTTTGCCTGGAATAAATCCCACTCTGTATAATTCTTTAAAATTAAAAAAAATGTTAATCGAAGTATAGTTGACATATAATACATAGTTTCAGGTGTACGACATAGTGATTTGACAATTATATAACATCACGAAATGCTCACGATGAGAAGGGTAGTTACCACGTGTTACCACACAAAGTTATTATACTATTATTGACTCTATTTCCTATGCTATATTTTTCATCCCCATGACTTATTTATGACTGGAAGTTTGTACCTCTTAATCTTCACGTATATCGTCTGTCCCCCCATCCCCCTATAATTCTTATACATTTCTGGATTTAGTTTGCTAATACTTGGTTGAGAGTTTTCCCATCTATGTTCATGAGAGATATTGGTCTGTAGTTTTCTTGTGATATCTTTGTTTGGTTTTGGTATTAGGGTTATTGGATGAGTTAGGAAGTATTCTTTCTTCTGTCCTCTGAAAGGGATTGTAGAGAATTGATATAATTTTTTCCTTAAATATTTGGTAGAATTCACCAGTGAACTCCTAGGCCTAGTGCTTTCTGTTTTTGAAAGGTTGTTACTTACTCAGTTTCTTTTTTTTTTTTTTTTTAAGATTTTATTTTTAAGTAATCTCTGCACCCAACGTGGGGCTCGAACCCACAACCCCAAGATCAAGAGTCACATGCTCTACTGACTGAGCCAACTAGGCATTGCACTCCATTTCTTTAATAGAAGTAGATCTGTTCACACTGTCTACCTCTAGGGTGAAGAAGTACGAAGGAGGGCAGAGGAGATGCCACCATCTCCCTGTCCTTCTATCCCATCTTAGGTACTGATGTTAGCTGGGCTGGGGTCCTTCTGCCCCTTTCTGGCTCTCATGTAGACACATAGAAAACCGTCAGTGTTTCTTTCTCCTGTCTTTCTTGTATGAAAAGAATTTACAGCATCCTTGAGCCTGCACATTGCTTTCACAGCAGAGCATTATGCTGTGACCAGAACCTCAAGATCCATGAGTGCAGGTCTAGCCCCTCCTGTCGAGACCTTGTGTAGCTCATGCTGTGCACAGGTTTTGCTTCATGGAGCTGAGCTGTGACTCTTCTGTCTGGTGTGGACCACAGAGGTGGGACTGTCAGCTCAAGACATGCATAATCTGATAGATGCTGGGCAGGTACAGAGGGAGCCATAGTTTCTGCCAGCTCTGAACCCAGCCCCACCTGCTTCACACTTGGGACTGGCGTTGGTGGGGAAAGACCAGGGGCACCCTCAACTTCCAGTGAGGTGGGGGCTTTTGCCCTTCACTTGGAGTCCAGTCCCTGTTCATTCCGATGTCCAGTGTTTCTGTTTTGCCTCCATTTGCTATTGATGTCTCTCAAGGGTACATCAGAGAGAAGCACAGATTTTCCAAGCTGTCAGGTTTGGGACAAATCCTGCCCTTTCTGGCACCAGGTATCTCTCCCAACTCAGGATTTCTTGGTTTGAAGGCACCAGTGTGCTCATCTAGAACAGCAGGGGAAGAAGCCTTGCAGAGCCTGGGGAGGTCTGACAGAGCCCACCCCTTTTTCCTTTGAAGCAGGGAGTCAAATATGTTGTGATGGGTGCCTCATAGAGATGGTATAGGGACTTAGAGTGACCAGTGGCTCACAGGAATGGCATGGTAACAAGCATGAGCACATCACACTATTCCTCAAGCTTGGGCCACCAGAGCCAGAAGCCACTGAAGTCTGGCAGTGCGGGAGGTCATGGTGGAGACCTCAACCCTCCTATGACCCTGGCTAACCTGGACACATGCACAAGGCCCAAGCTGCTCCTGTCCAGAGTCAGGCAGGGGGCTTGGGCCCAGCTAACAGTGTGCCCCCCCCCCAACTCTTCTTTGCAGCTTTCTATATGAACCCAACAGCCAGGGGTACAAATACTACCGACAGAAGCTGGAAGAGTTCCGGAAAGCTAAGGCTGGCCCCACAGGCACTCTCATGGCACCTGACCTCAGCCTGAAACGCAAATCCCCTCCTGAGACCCCATCGGGGTCCTTGCCCCCAGCTGCTGCCTGCCCTGCCTCATCTGCCCCCTCGCCTGCAGTCACCCCAGCTCCAGCCATCCCTGGGAAGCCAACCACCACAGCCACTGTGAAAAAGAAGCGGAAGAGCCGGTGGGGGCCTGAAGAGGACAAGGTGGAACTCCCACCCGCCGAGCTGGTACAGAGGGATGTAGACGCCTCTCCTTCACCTCTGTCAGGTGCGCTGACCCCCTTCCCCCACCTCTGTCAGGATAGCCTGGCTTCTTTCACTCAGATAGTGTTTCCACGCTTCATCTGTGTTGTAGCATATGTCAGAGTTTCATTCCTTATGGCTGAATGATATTCCATTTCACGGATGGACTACACTGTTTATCCATTAATCAGTTGACGAACACGTGGGTTTTTCCACCTTTTGGCAACTGTAAATAGTGCTGTTGTGAACATTGGTCTACAAGTACTATTTGAATCCTTGATTTTGATTCTCTTGGGCCTATACCTAGGAGTGGAATCACTGGGTCGTATGGTAATTCTGTTTAACTTTTTGAGGAACCACCAAACTATTTTCTACAGCAGCTGCACCATTTGATAGTCCCACCAGCAGTGCACAAGGGTTCCCATTTCTCCACATCCTTGCCTTTTTTTTTTTTTTAAAGATTTTATTTATTTATTTGAGACAGAGAGAGAGATCACATGAGAGGGGGGGAGGGTCAGAGGGAGAAGCAGACTCCCTGCTGAGCAGGGAGCCCGATGCGGGACTCGATCCCGGGACTCCAGGATCACTACCTGAGCCGAAGGCAGTCGCTTAACCAACTGAGCCACCCAGGCGCCCCCTTGCCTTTATATAATAGCCATCCCAGCAGGTGTAAAGTGGAGTCACGTTGTAGTTTTGAATTGTGTTTCCCTAATGTCTGATGGTATTGAGCATCTTTCATGTGCTAATTGGTCATTTGTATAGCTTATTTGGAGAAATGTCTATTTTAGTCCTTTGCCCACTTTTAAATTGGGCTGTCTTTGTTGTTGAGTTGTAGGAGTTCTTTATATATTCTGGATAGTAACCTCCTATTCAGATACATGGTTTGCAAATACATCCTCTCATTCTGTGGATTGTCTTTTTATTCTCTTGATGGTGTCCTTTGATGCACAGAAGTTTTAAATTTTGACTAAGTTCCATTTATTTTTTCTTTTGTTGCCTGTGCTTTTGGTTTCATTTATGAAACCATAGCTAAATTCAAGGTCATGAAGATTTGCCCCAATGTTCTAAGTTTTTTATAGTTTTGGGACTTTTGATCTATATTGAGGCAATTTTTATATATGATATAAGCTAAGGATCCAACTTACTCTCTTGCGTTTGGAGATCCAGTTTTCCCAGCCCCATTTGTTGAAGAGACTTTTCTTTCCCCATTGAATGGTCTTGAAACCCTTGTCAAAAATCAGTTGTCCTTAGATGTAAGGGTTTATTTCTGGGCTCTCTATTCTGTTATACTGGTTTGTATGTCTGTCCTTAGGTCAGTACCAACTGTTTTGATTACTGTAGCTCTGTAGTAAGTTTTGAAATTGGGAGTGTGAGTCTTCCAACTTTTTCTTTTTCAAGCTTTGGCTATTGAGGGTCTTGAATTTTCAGATGGGCTTCTCCATTTCTGCAAAAACACTGTTGGGATTTTGATAGGGGTTGCCTTGAGTCTATAGATTGCTTTGGGCAGTATGGACACGATAACAATACTTAAGTCTTCCTTACAACAACAACAACAACAACAACAACCAGTCTTCCAGACTGAACACAGGATATCTTTCCATTTATTTAGATCTTTAATTTCTTTCAACATGTTTTGTAGTTTTCATTGTACATGTCTGACACTTCCTTGGTTAAATTTGTTCCTAAGTGATTTTTTTTTTTCCTGAGGCTATTGTCAACGGAATTGCTTTTTAAATTTTCGTTTAGGATTGTTTGTTGCTAATGTATAGAAATAAAACTGATTTTTGCATGTTGATGTTGGATCCTCCCAACTTCGCTGAATTCACTTATTAGCTCTGACAGTCTTTTGGTGGATTCTGTAGGTTTTCCTGTGTGTATAATTATGATCATGTCGTCTGCAAGTAGAGATAATTCTACTTCTTGTTTTCCACGTGGGATGCCTCTTATTTCTTTTTCTTGCCTAATTGCTCTAGTTAGCATTTCCAGTACTAAGTTGAATAGAGGTGGGGAAAATGGGCATCCTTGACTTGTTCTGATCTTAGGGGGAATGTTTTCAGTCTTTTACTATCGAGTATGATGTAAGAAAGGAAGTTCCTTTCTGTTCCTAGTTTATTGAATGTTTTTATCATGGAGGGGTATTAGATTTTGTCACATGCTTTCTCTGTATCAGTTGAAATGATTGGATGGGTTTTTTCCTTCAGTCTGTTAATGTGGTGTATTACATTGGTTAATTTTCTTATATTGAACCATGTGATATTGTGGTTTATTAGAAATACATATTTGGCCATTCAGATGACCAAAATAATATTTCTCATATGTATTTGGTCTTTGTTCACAGTTCCTGGCTCACAGTTCCTCCCAAAGCCCTTGGAATTTCCTGAGTGATAAGAGCAGTGGGAGCATCTTTTGTTGTATTATTTGGTCTCCGTCCTCAGTTCATGAAAATGCTTCAGAGCCATAAAGGTGAAATGGGGGTCTTGTTGTTTATAATAAGCCCCTTTCCACCACAAGTGGGTTTATGTTACTGAGGTGACTTTTGGAAAGCACCTAAGGATGGGGGTTGGTGGCCAGGGGATCCAACCATGAATAGAGGGTTGGAACTTTCTGTCCCACCTCCTAGTTTCCAGGGAGGGGAGAGGGGCTGGAGGTTGAATCAGTCAACAGCAGCTAGTGATTTTATCAATCATGCCTATGTGGTGAAGTCTCCATAAAAACCCAAAGAGACAGGGTTCAGAGAGCTTCCGGGTTGGTGAACACACGGAGGTTCAGGGAGAGTGGAGGTTCTCGAGAGAGCATAGAAGCTCTGGGCGCTTTCCCCAAACCTTGCCCAGGGCATCTTTTCCATCTGGCTTTCCTAACTTATATCCATTTATAATATGTAAGTAAAGCAGTAACCTGGTAAGTAAAATGTTTTTCTGAGTTGTGTGAGCCAGTATAGTAAATTAATTGAACCCAGGAGGGGGATCATTGGAACCTCTGATCTACAGCCAGTCAGCAGCATGGGTGATGACTTGGGCTTATATAGTTGGTGACTAAAGTTGGCTGGGGAGGCGGGGGGAGCAGTCTTATAAGACTGACCCCTTAACCCATGGAATCCTATGCTACCTTCTGGTGGGTAGTGTTAGAACTGAGTTGGCCTATTGGACACCCAGCAGGTGTCTGAGAATTGCTCGTTGGTGTGGGGAACTTCCCTCCACCCACACACACACTTTGGAATTGGTACCAGCACTCTATTTAAACCACCTGTGCATATCTGGGATAAACCCCACTTGGTCATGGTGAATAATCCTTTTAGCATGCTATTATATTCAGTTTGCTGGTATTTTGTTGTGTATGTCTGCATCTATATTCATAAGGAATGTTGGTCTATGGTTTTCTTGTGTCTTTGTCAGCTTTTGGTATCAGGGTAATACTAGTGTTATGGAATGAGTTAGGAAATATTCTCTCCAGTTTTTTGGAAGAGTTTGAGAAGAATTATTAGCATTAATTGTTCTTTTAAATGGTTGGTAGAATTTAGCAGTAATGCCATCTGGTTCTGGGCTTTTCTTTGTTGGGAGGTTTTTTGTTTTGTTTTGTTTTTGTTTTTAAAGATTTTATTTATTTATTTATTTATAAGACAGAGAGAGACTCAGAGAGAGAGGGAACACAAGCAGGGGGAGTCGGAGAGGGAGAAGCAGACTTCCCGCCGAGCATGGAGACCGATGTGGGGCTCGATCCCAGGACCCTGGGATCATGACCTGAGCCGAAGGCAGACGCTTAACGACTGAGCCACCCAGGCGCCCTTGTTGGGAGGTTTTTGATTGCTGATTCAATCTCCTTCCTTGCTATAAGTCTGTTTAGGTTTTCTCTTCCTTCTTGAGTTAGTTTTGGTGGTTTATACATTTCTAGGAATTGGTTCACTTCATCTAGGTTATCCAAGTTGTTGGCTTAACAGGTGTTCATAGTAATCTTTTACAGTTCCTTTTTATTTCTGTAAAGTCATTCGTAATATCCCCTCTTTCATTTCTGATTTTAATGAGTCTTTTCTTTTTTTCCTTAGGCAGTCTGTCTAAAGGTATGTCAATTTTGTTGATCTTTTCAAAAAACCAACTTTTGGTTTCGTGGATTTTCTATATTATATTTCTATTCCCTACGTGTTATATCTTCATTCTGTTATTTATTTCCTTCCCTCTGCTAGCTCTGGAATTAGTTTGCTTTTCTTTTTCTAGTTCTTTAAGGTGTACGGTTAGGTTATTGATTGGAGATAATTCCTTTTAATTATGTGCAGTTATAGCTGTACATTTCTCTTGTAGCACTGCTTTTGATCAGTCCCATCAGTTTAGCTGTCTTGTGCTTTCGTGTTCCTTCATCTCTTAAATTTTTCTAATCTCTCTTGGTGATTTCCTCTTTGATCCATTGATTGTTTAAGAGTGTTTAATTTCCATATATTTGTGAGTTTTCCAATTTTCCTTCTGTTACTGATTTCTAGTTTCATTCCATTGTGAACAAAAAAGATACTTGGTATGAATTCAGTCTTTTAAAATTGATTAAAACTCGTTTTTATAGCCTCACATGTAATCTATCCTGGAGAATGTTCCATGTGCACTGTATTCTGCCATTGTTGGGTTGCATGTTCTGTATGCGTCTGTTAGGTCTCACTGGTTCTAGTGTTTAATCTTCTATATCCTTACTGATTTTCTATCTAGATACCTGTCCCTAATTAAAAATGGGTCAGTGAAGTCTCCAGTTGTTATTGTAGAACTGTGTATTTCTCCCCTCAGTTTTGTCAATTTTTGCTATATACTCATTATATCTTCTTACTGTTTCAAATTTTTTTATCAACATAGAACCTCCTTCTTTGTCTCTTGTAACCTTTTTTAGCTGGAAGTCTATTTTGTCTGATGCTAGTATGGCCATCCCAGCTCGCTCTTGGTTACTGTTTGCATGGAGTATATTTTTCTGTCCTTTCACTTTCAACTTGTTTGTGACTTTGTATCGAAAGTGAGTCTCTTATAGACAGCATATAGATGGATCCTGTTCTCTCCCTTAATTTAAAGTACTTGGAACCATTCTTGTCAAAGAAAGCTCAGGAAATGCATGATGATAAGCACCGTGATTACCACAGTCAGTTTTGCACAATCCGCTCCAACATCCGCCTCCTTGACAGCGTGTAGTCTCATTTCTCCTTTTCTACCACAAACCCACCAGGTTGGGGAGTCTGTTGTCCTCCCGTTCTGCAGGTGAGAATGGGTGACTGAGAGAGGCTGTCTCATGGCCTCTGGCTCACTGCCCTCCACACAGCCTGCACTGCAGGCAGAACCCTCTCCACCGCCCTTGCCCCTGGACACACAAGTACATAGAGGAGTCATATGTGCCCTGGCGCTGACACCTACATTTCTTTTGCAAAGATGGGCGGAGAGGGAAGGCAGCTGACCTAAGTCATGTGGCTGGCCTGTTGGCCTTGTCCGTCCAGCTCTGAGGGTGGTCTTCCAGTCCAAGGAGAAAAGCTAGTGAAGATTGTCCTACTCCCTGGGGTTCTAGATAGCATTTCTCCCCAGGATTGAGGGTGTCTCAGGTCGGATTGCCATCAAGTGTCAAACTCTGGTGCCCACTGAAATGGAGGGTGCTCGGTGGTGGGTGCTGTTCTGATGTGTGTGCGCCATGATTCTGAACCCACTCCCCGAGGCCTGGCCCCAGCTCCCCGCTGGCGAGGAAGCCTCCACTGTGGTCTAGCGTGCAGGCACAGGCTCCAAAGGCTCACATCCAGGGTTAAGTCCCACTGGTCCGTGTCCCTGGGGGAGTGTGAGCAGCCCCCACCTCCTTGCTTGCTGGAAAAGTGGTCCGAGGAGAAGGACAGTGGGCGCGCTCCAGGCACACAGCGGGCTGCTCCGACCTTGGCTCCCTTGCCCAGTTCCCAGGGCTCCCACACAGACCTTCTAGGAGATACTGGGGTATAAGCATGGGCTCAAGGAGCACTTGTGGGTGGTTCTTACAGGCGAGGCCCCAACCCTGGTGCACTGGGAGGACCTGGCTCTTTGCACATGCCAGAAGGGCCTCTGTACCCGCGTTTGCCCAACTTCTCCCTCAGGAAGCTACCGCCTGAGGGGTGGTGGTTTCCGCCACCCAGATGGGGCCGTCACAGCATCTTCATGTGCATTAGTGTTGCTGGCTCCAGCCAAGCTCCGAAGCTGATGCCAAATTAAATGTCAGTTGCTTTGAGGATGGTCGGCTGCCTCCCCGGAAGGAGCTAACAGCCACAGAGCTGAGTCTTATGCCAGACTCTGAACCCTTGTGCGTCTATGCTGGGTGTCTGTTCCCTGCAGGGCTTATTTCCAAGAGTCGGTGTGTGAATGCGCGCACACACACACACACACACACGCACATGCTATCTCCACTCTTATGTCTGCCTTTGCAAAGTCCTCGTCTTATCACCCATCAGACACGTGACCTTGAGCGAAGCCCTGGATCTCTAAGTTCTGATGTTGGCGTCTGCAACGTGGGGGTATAGAGTCTGCCTGGAGGTCACGTGAGGATGAAACTGGGTGCTTGTGATAGAGCCCAGTGAGGCCCCCGCGGTCACCCCATGACACGGGATACCAGCTGCTGTAATGTGAAGGCTCTGTCATGTGTGCTGGGTGCCTCAGATGTCATCAGTGCCTGGACACTGTGCCACATGGAAGAGCAGGTCTGGACCCATGCATCCATTGTTGACCAGCCTGTGTTTTGTTTCCAGTTCAGGACCTCAAGGGGCTTGGCTATGAGAAAGGGAAGCCCGTAGGTCTGGTGGGTGTCACGGAGCTGTCAGATGCCCAGAAGAAGCAGCTGAAGGAGCAACAGGAGGTAAGTCTGGGGCTGAGCAGGCAGGCTTCAAAGGGGCTGGTGGAGTATCGTCCCCCACCTCATCTCATGCTTCAGTGGTTGTGTCGCGTTCTTTCTGAGCCTCCCTGTGCTGGGTGGATCCCACAGTCAGGGGAGAGGTCCTTGGGCAGCAGGCCCCTGTCAGCCGCATTCCACCTCCCAAGGGCCCTCCCCAGCCTGCGTTGGACCCAGAGCTGAGGCCTTCTCACACTGGCTGGGCAGCCCCTGAGGCTGGTGCTCTACAGCTACTCCCCAACACGCTTGTGGGCTCTTCCTGACTAGGGAGTCTCCATTTTTAAGTTTTCCTTCCAGTGTTCCCCAGCAGCCAGTACAGGACAGGCCTGGCTAGCACTGGCGGCCCTGAACGATGTGACAAATGCTCAGTTGGTATTGGGCTGTGATTGGGGTGAGGGCTGGCTTGGTCTCTCTGCTTCTTTCCTGGGAGGACTACAGGCACCTGTCTGTTGGTCCTTGGGGACACTCAACCCCAGTCACCTTCTCCAGGCTGGCAGCCCCATCACCTCACCTTCAACCCTTCTGTGGTCAGGGGCCTGCGGTGTCCTCCTTTGGTGTCCACAGCAAGGGTGCCCAGGATGTGCTGGGTTCCAGGCCAGACTGGGTGAGGCAGAGAGGGGTCCTCCCTGCTCACATGGGGATTCAAGGAACCCAGGGCATGCCCTGACACCAGACCTTGTGTCTTCTTGAGCACTTGCTCCGGGCCCTGTTCATGTGCCTGCCCCGGGGAGGACAGAAAGCAGGAAGGGTGAGGGCACCTGACATACGCAGGGAAGGCGAAGGGACTGGCCTCCTGCACGTGTGCTCCCTGGCACTGCTCACTGGTGTGTGCGGCCCGCAGATGCAGCAGATGTATGACATGATCATGCAGCACAAGCGTGCGATGCAGGACATGCAGCTATTGTGGGAGAAGGCCCTGCAGCAGCACCAGCACGGCTACGACAGTGACGAGGAGGTGGACAGTGAGCTGGGCACCTGGGAACACCAGCTGCGGCGCATGGAGATGGACAAGACTCGGGGTGCGCCGAGGAGCACCTTGCGGGTGGGGTGAGGGACAGGATACCTGGGTGAGGCCATGCCCTAGGCACCGCAGGCTCAGGAGGCCCCACTCACCTGCTCAGGAAGGCACCTGGAGGCACCACCTGGGGTATTAAGCCGCCTGCACGACGTGTACGGCCTGGAGCAAGAGACTCAGCTTCTCTGTCTCCGTTTCCTCAGTGGGAAAAAGTAGTTCTCTAAGCGTTTGTGGCTGTTTGAACATGGCACTTAGCAGGGCTGCTTGGAGGAGCAGGGTTTGGGTCGGGGCCTCAACCAGCTGCCTCATTCCCCTACGACCCAAAGTCCCTGCACCCTGCCCAAGACTCATACCTGTGCCGGGGGGCCACCTGGCCCGCTCTCCGCCCTCTTCCTTTCTCTCACTTTCCCCCCCGCTTCTCTGGGCAGAGTGGGCCGAGCAGCTGACAAAGATGGGCCGTGGCAAGCACTTTATCGGAGACTTCCTGCCACCAGATGAGCTGGAGAAGTTCATGGAAACCTTTAAGGCCCTGAAGGTGAGCTGGGAGGGTCCCCGGGCACCAGCTCTTGTTGTGGGCTGGCCGGCAGGCAGGCAGCCACGCCGGTGGCCCAGCCCCTCCTGTTAGCCTCATGAGACAGGCGCCTGAGGCAGCCTCGGGGGCCCCCCTTCATTCACAGGGGGAGCTGGGCCCTCTTGCCTCGGGAGGCATCTGTTGATGATAGACACCGTCTGTGGAGGGAATTAGCAGAAAGCAGCCCAGCTGCCGCTTTAGAAACATTTCCCAGGGCTTCAGGGAAATTCTGCTTTCAGTGGAAAAAATTAAGTGCAGTTTACAGGCAAAGCGTTTCTCAGGCAGAAGCCCCCATGGACTGGGTTCTCCAGAACAAGAATTCACATTCCTGCCATGCTGTCATCATGCTTCTGAGGAGAGAGAGCTGACGGGGCACATCCCATGTCATCTTTTGGGGGATTTTTGTAAAACTGCTTTGTACTGCATAACCTCATCAATAAGGCGGTCACCTTATTGACCCCATCTTTTTAGCATTCTGTGTAACGAATTGCCCTCAGAACCTAGGACTTTTCTTTACTGATGAACCATTAATCTTTCCCATGGTGGGTGAAGCCTGTGTGACCCGTCACCTTGCCCTCGTTGACTTTGCCACCAGGCAGCTTGGTACAGAGCCTACCCTGGGGACCCTGAAAAGGAGCATCTTGGTCTGTTCTTAAGGAATCTGATCTGGTACAGAGGCTGCAGATGGGCAGATGGTCCCAGCGGCCAGTCAGGCCATTGGTGGTGGGAAGGGGTGGTATTCAGGCCAGAGCCAGGACCCGGGACAGTTGCAGCCCTGGTGGATGACAGCCACCTCCTTGCCCTGCAGGAGGGCCGAGAGCCTGACTACTCAGAGTACAAGGAGTTCAAGCTGACAGTGGAGAACATCGGCTACCAGATGCTGATGAAAATGGGCTGGAAGGAGGGCGACGGGCTGGGCTCAGAGGGCCAGGGCATCAAGAACCCAGTCAACAAGTGAGTGTATGCGCCCCCTGCCACTCCTCCTGCTGGCATCCGCCCGGCCCCCTGCTCACTTGGCCCTGTCACCCCCCCTGCAGAGGCACCACCACAGTAGATGGAGCAGGCTTTGGCATCGACCGGCCAGCTGAGCTCTCCAAGGAGGATGATGAGTATGAGGCCTTCCGCAAGAGGATGATGCTGGCCTACCGCTTCCGGCCCAACCCCCTGGTGCGTGTGTTCCCAGCGCCCCATATGGCTCCTGGCTGGGCTGCCCAGAATCTCAGCAGGGGGGTGGCAGTGCTGGTAACAGAGCTGTCTCTCCTTCCCCAGTCCAGCTAAGCCAGGTCTCACTAGCAACTCCCCATCTCTCCACCTGCCCTCCCCTCTGTGAGCTTAGCTGTCCCTGGAACATTCTGGGCAGGAGGAACCACTGTGTTTAGCATTGACCCCCTCCCCTTTTTCTTTTTTGCCTCTCACAGAACAACCCCAGACGGCCTTACTACTGAGTATTCTGGAAAAACGCACAATTGTATTTTCCAACCGACTGACCTTCCCTGGACTGTGGAATGTTCTGGCCTGCATTTCTGCCTGCCCTTCCCGTTGTCTCAAGTGTCATGCCGTGTATTAAAGTTCCAGTGCTTGCCTACCAGGGCAGCCTGGTTTTGCCATCACCAGAAACCGCTCTGTTTCCATAGCAGCGGGGCTGGGCTGGGCAGATGGGGCTGGGATGCTGCTGGGAAAGCTCCCTGGTGCCTGAGAAATAGGAGAGAACCATCTAGAAATCTGTGGGGCCCCTCACCATCAGCCTGGGTTAGAGTTGAGGGGAGGATCCACAGATCCTCTGAGAGAGACTGGTGGCTGACCAGCCAAGACCTGGCTGCACCTGGACCAGGGGCATCAGGGACCTCCCAGTGTAGCACTGTGCTGCAGGAGTTAGGTTGGAAGGGGTCCCCAGACAGGGCCCAGCCCTCTTCAGATCTGTGGGGCAGGTGGACCCAGGGCACACCTGTGCCAGTCACCTCACCAGCAGGTGGCGTTGACGGCCCCTCCCCGAAGCTTATCTGTGACAGTTGCAGCCCAGGCTATCCCAGTAGCCAGTGGGGTGGACACGGAGTCCCTGGGCCTTGTGCCTTTAGGGGACAACTCTGTGGACAGATGCAGCATGCCAAGTGCTCCCTACATCTCCAGAGCCTGCACCTCATATTTGTGCCAAGACTACCTGGGGATCTCATTCAGTTGCAGCTGCTGAGTGAGCAGCTTGGGTGGGATCCTAGGAATCCAAGAGCCTTGCTTAAAGTATGGCTTGGAGCCCTGAGGGATCCCCACAACCCACCCATCTGCCCACACATGTGCCTAGTGGGTCCTGCTCAACCCCTGTGGGCTCAGGGGCTTAAAGACTCCAGCTGGAGTTAGGCTTCTGGGCCAGCCTGCATTCTCGTAGTCATTTAGTAAACAGCACCAACTGTGTGAACTGGATGGATAGGCTCTGCCCCCTGGCAGCCAGTCTGTTGTGTACATGGTGGTGAACCTGAGACTGATAAATGCAAAGAGGAACTGGGTGCTGTCTTGGCGGCAGCCTGGGGAGTGTCTCAGTATGGGGGAGGAGGGCATCCAGGGACTGGGAGTCTCAGCACAAGAGCCCAGGCAGGGATGACATATACCACCCTGTCTCCCTTCCATAGACACTGTGCCCAGGGCAGGGCCAGGGGTGACATTCCCATGTGTGGAGGCTGCCCAGTGGTCCCAGGTCTTGAGCACAAGAGTAGCTCTGGGCAGCCAGAGGTTCCAATGATAGGGATCCTAGGCCTTGGTCCCAGGCACCTCGCCATCCAGGTCAAGGTCACCCTTCAATTAAATTAGTGACCTGGAGGCTCTCCAGACTTAGCCCATGGACTTTACCCCCAGGCAAGTGGAAAGGTGGAAGAGAATGGGCCCCAAATTCGGTGTGCATGCACATGCACATCCCAGACACAGATGCAAGGCCAGGTTGCTAGACAGCTGGATCAGACACCCCTGGCCTTGGAGGAGGAGGAGTGGGGCTGGGGTGGCAGAGAGGGCTACCTGGAGGAGGGGACACTGGGATCTGCTTTAAGGGCTGAGGAAATACTAGAGGGTCCATCTTGCAGACAGGAAAGAGGCCTGGGGGGTGTTGGCACCGCTAGAGTTTGGAAAAGTCAAGAAATGAGACTGGAGCCTCAGGTCAGCCCAGAGGAACCTGAACTTAACCCATGGGCAATGGACAACTGGGAGGGAGGCTAGGAGGGAGGCTGTCAGGTCGGTGGCCAGAAGATCATCTTGTCACCCAGGCTCAGAGATGGGACCCAGGTGGCACAAGGCCAAGGGGCTGCATGGAAAAAGGGTGAGGGTTAGAATCTTCCCCACACACAGACTGTGGGCCTCCCCAAAGGCACCTGCTCACTGTTTTCCAGCAGCCACAAGTAACACATGGGCGAGAGTCCAAGGTGGGTTGGAGACGGTTGCCTCCTAAATCTCTCCCTACCCTACTATAGTCCCCTCCCTGGTGCAGCCCCCCCCCCACGCCATGCCCTTTGCATTTTCCCCTGAACCAAGCCCAGCCTCCTGCAGGCTGTTCAGAATCCTCCCTCAGCTATCCCCTCTGAGCCCCCCCACCACACCCCAACCCCAGGCCTGAGCTATTCTCCTTGCCAGAAACACTGTTCTAAACTCACCAAACTAGCAATCCATGCCTAATCTAAGCCCACCCTTTGGACTCCCTCCCTTTGACACCACCCACTGAGCAGGGACACAGCCTCAGCTGCCCACGAGGTGCCCAGGCTACATGGAAGGAACACAGCACACGGAGTCCTTCAAGGGACCCGCCCAACCCATGACCTTGGCTGCCTGCCTTGAGATGATCCCCAGACCCAGTCAAAGCTTTACACCCGGACACGTGTTTAAATGTGTGTGGCCACTGTGTGAACGAACACTCAAATCCAAGGGCCCTGAAGGCAACTCCTTGTGTCCAAGCGACTGAGGTTCCTCCATTGGCGCAGAATGCCGCCAATGCCCCTTTGATCCTAGGGGGAAGAAGGTCTAGGGAATGTGGAATTAAAAAGGGTCCCCTTCAGGGTCGAGGTAGGTACACCGGTGGCTTAGGACGGAGAAAGCAGAAGTCAGAAGGAGGCCTGGAGAACAAATTCCCTTAGAATGAAGCTGCTGGCCCAGGGCCTCCAGGTTGCAGTCCCGGGCCTCACGAGCGGAAGCGTCCGGAGACATGGTGTTCTAGCTTTGAATAGTGAAGCTGAGGCTGGGCGGCGTAGAGAACCGCGCTGAGTCCGGTGACGGTGAAGCCGGGGGAGGAGTGGGGGAAGGGACCGCTTCAAGGGGGAGGGGCCTCAGAGGCTCCCCGGGAGCGCGCTGGACGGTCAAGGTAAGGCGTCCAGACCAGGGCGCAGCGGCGGGCGACCTTTGCGCAGGGCGGGGCGGGGCGGGGCCGGGTCCCCGGCACCCTCCCCCCACCCCAGACGCGCGGCCGCGGAGGTGCCGAGCGCCCTGGAGGCCGCGCCGGGACCGAGCCGGGGTCCGGGCGCCGCTACTATGGACATCCCGCCGCTGGCCGGCAAGATCGCGGCTCTGTCGCTCGGCGCCCTCCCCTTGTCCTATGCGCTCAACCACGTCTCGGCGCTCTCGCAGTGCGTGAGGGGAGAGGCCAGGGCGCCCACCGGGAAGGGGGCGGGCGGCGGGGCCGCGCTGGCGGTGGCGGGGAGAGAGGATGCGCGGGCGGCGAGCCTGGCTCCCCCGAGCCCCGAGTCCCTGCGCAGCTCCTGCCAGGAAGAAGGGACCTAGGCCAGAACTACCCCCTGCCCCATCCAACCTGAAGTCCCCTCTCCGCCGGCCAGGAGGCTGTGTGGTGAGGGTGGGGGCGCTCCTGGGACGTTTAGGGCTTGAGGAGAAAGGAGGCTGAGAAGCAGAGCCTCCCCACAGGGCAGAGTTTTGGAGGGTTTCTGGGGTTTCCCAGGGATGTGCCCAGCTCCAAAGTTACCAAAGGTCAAAGTATTGGCCCAGATAATGGCCTGATGACCCAGCTCCTGACACACTCGGACACGCGTTCTATTCCAACAACCCTAGCAGATGGCCCCTCCATTGCCTCTCTCAGGCCTGAGACTTTCTCCTGTTAAGGTTTGGCCCACCTGTCTTTAGCCTCAGTTTCGCCTACATGCTGTGACTTCCCTTGTCTCCTAAACTAAACCCCAGCCCTGTGGATCCTGCCACTGGAGTACCAGGCATATGCAAGCCCCTTACACTCCCAAACCTAGCTCAACTCAAGACATGGGCTACAGGGAGTATTGCCTGTGGGGTTGTCTCCTTGGGTACAAATTCCTGGCTCCATCCCCCTGGATGAATGAGTCAGGTTGCTTCTGGGAGCCTGAGTTTCTTCAGTGTGTAATGAACATAATCCTCGACCTCGTCCCATAGTTAGAGTTAAGGATTACAAATTGTGTGCAAAGACTTGTGTGGTCTTATCTGATTACTATAATTGTCATTGTTGGTCAGATGGGGCCAGGATGGGGATCTTAGGTGTCAGAGAGGTCCATGAGAAGGTAGGAGCCTGGAGAAAGTGTAGAGGAGTCTGGAAACCTGGATAGCTTTCCCAACCACCCACTCTGCCCACCTGTGTTGGAGGCTTCCATCCTGATTTCTTTTTCTTATCTATGCAACTGGTTGACCTGTCTTATCTGGTTGATGGGGTAGATCAGGGCAGGAGTGGGGTGGAGTTGATAGAAGCATTTGGACTTCAGCTAGGAGGAGTCAGGAGTTTCGGAAAGTGAGGTGTACAGTGCTGAGCACTAGAGACCTGGCAGGGGCTTGGGAGCTGGGTCTGACCACAGAGTGGCTTGGTGATGTTGAATGACTGACAGCAAATTGAGTTAAACACATATCAGCAAGTGACGGGATGGATTGTATAGTCAGAAAGAGTTGACTGATGCCCCCTCTGTACTTGGCCTAAATTGGGCAATGATTCTAAGGAGTCAGGGAGGGCTTCCTGGAGGAGGAGCCATGAAAGATAGGCCACGAAAGATGAGTAGGCATTTGCCAAGTGGAAGAGACTTCTGGAAGGAGTTTCCAGGAAGGAGAAACAGCTCAGGCAACAGCCTAGTGATGGGAAAGGGCAGTTGCAGGGAACAAGATTCCTGGATGGACAGACACTTCAGTCTCAACATCTGGAGCATCCTAGAATCTGCTTTTGCCCTCACCAGGGTGGGTGAGGCCTCAGCACTGGGCCTGGCCTCTCTGACTTGTTTTCCCTCTCCACAGCCCCCTGGGGCTGGCATTGATGAGTACCCTGATCCTGGGCCTGCTTTTTGTGGCTATCTACACTTTGTCCCCCGGCGAGATCTACTATGACCCACTCTATGCTGGTGAGTCAGTCGGAGAGAACTGTGTGAGCAGGGGCCTCCTCCATCCCCTTGAAGGGCTCCCATCAGGCTGGAGAACCTCAAAAAGACTGGAGAAACTTCATTGGTTGGGGAACCTCAGAGGGCCTCCCCCGTCAGACCTGGGGCTCCTGAGAGCAGGACTGTATCTTCCCATCAGACTGGGAACCCCTGAAAGACCATACTTCCTCATCACTTTGGGATTTCCTGAGGGCAGGGTCAGTGCCTTCTCAGCCTGAGGCCTCCCAAAGGCAGGGACTGTGCCTCCTCAAGAGGCAGGGC